TATATATATATATATATATATATATATTATATAAGTATAATAACTAGTATATATATATATATATATATATATTATCATAATATATATATATATATATATTTATATTATATAGAGCTAAATTTATTATGATACTATCATTTTTTTATATAAAATAAATAACATAATTGACAATGAAGACTTTGGAAACAATCCTGGTCCATCAAATATTTTTGCGCCTGTTGAAAAATATACAAACTGTAAAAACAAATAAATTACAAAATTTATAAAAAATAGAGAATGTGACAAAAATACAACGAGTTTTATATATAAATAAATGTCAAGCTGTTTTAGATACATATATTTCTGAAAGAAGTAATGAAAGCATACGAATGTAGATTCTAGAAGAATTTAAAAATATTACGAAAATTCAAGAAAATTTTGTCCACTCTGTAAGAAAAATGAGCCATATCAAATGCTAAAAGAGATGAGAACATTAAAATTCTTAGAGAAATTGCAAAAAGTATCGAACAAATTGCTACATTTTCATACAGTACAGATGTTTAATTTATACATATATATTTATTATTAATTAATTTGATATAATGATTTAATTAATCATTAGTATAATTTAAGTTAATTAATTAACTTAAATTCCTGATTTGACCTTTATTCAATTTTGCCGAAAAAGCTCTGATTATTCTGATTATTCACTGTGTGTGTATTTCTTCCGCAAAAATTAGATTTAGCGTAATAATAGTGTAAACGGCATAAAATAACTAGGCGGAATTTGATGTTCAAGTGAAACGATGTGATTGGTCGGCGCAAGTTACGCTTACGCAAGTTATGCCGCATGTGACGGTACCCTTATTTTTGTCCGCGTCTTATCATTTGTTTGCGTCACGTCTGTCTAGTCTCGTCTGCGTACGTCAGTTTCATCGCATCTCTGCGTGCGGCAACTGCCTGTTCGTGCGTTGCTTGCGCTCCGTTTCTTCTCGCGAGCGATTATCTCAACGCAATTCTGTATCCTTCAGCGTTTCTAATCTTGAACGTTTCCCTTCGCGTTCGCGGCGCCCTTGCTGGCATTGTATGCTCCGCAAGAAAATATTTGTCACGCTTTTCGTGTTCGCAGTCTCTTTGTTGGTATTAGTGTCGGTCCACAATAAGTATTTAATCTTTAAACCGTAAGAAATTGATCAATCATAATCGATTATTCTTTTCATATTCGATTATAATTGGTCAATTTCTTACTTCTTAAAGCTTAAATCATCTATTGTGGACCGACACTTATACATATGTATCTGATCACTCTTTGGCTTTGTGATATTAGCTGTAAGCCGTTATAAACATCGCGTTATACACATTCCGCGTTTTTTGTTTGTTAACTCTTGCAACTTTGGAATATTTTGGAATTTCTAACCATTATCAGTCTTGAAATAAACATGATCGAGTCAGAACTCGGCGAGTTGTTGCTGGCGATGGTCGAATCTAAAAATTGTGATGAAATGTAGTCTGATTCCTTCCGGGAGCGTCCCATTTGACTACATTGCAATTTGACACAGCCACTTACAGCGATCGATGCCTGGAGATTTTCTACTGGACCAACCAATCAATTTATTAAATAATTTTATTTTAAATTGGCCAATTGGATGCCACCTCTCTGACTACAGCGAGCAGCCGCCTCAGTCGATCCACAATAGGTAATTTAAGCTTTAAGACGTAAGAAATTGACCAATTATAATCGAATATGAAAAGAATAATCGACTATGATTGGTTAATTTCTTATGGCTTAAAGATTAAATACTTATTGTGAACCGACACCAGTGTCGATATTTAATCTTTAAGTCGTAAGAAATTGACCAATCATAGTCGAATATTTTTTTTTATATTCGATTATAATTGATCAATTTCTTACTTCTTAAAGCTTAAATCACTTATTGTGGACCGACACTCATAGTCTCTGCAGATTGGCAATCTCATTCTATACTATAGAACCGGCAACAATACCTTTCTCTACACACTCAATGTGCACTCAATCGAATTCGCTATAAGTTTAAATAATGTACAAGATAGAAATGAGAAATAACTGATGATCAATTTTATATATAAAAAAAGAATCAAGTATCAAAGGAAGTTTAGAACACCTTCGAAGTATAACGTTTTTGCTTATCTAACAAACGTAGAAGGTCAAGAAAAACTCGTATTAATTTACTATAACTATTCAAACTAAAATTTTTTAACAAAGTTTTTTAACAATTAAAAAGATAAATGTAAATTATAGTTAACTTATCAACAAGCAATATTTTGTTTGCCAGTAAGTTTTTAAGAAATTATTAGAAAAGGAATAGTATGTAGTCATTTTCCTCCGTGGATAACTCCTATAACAAAAAAAATAAAATTCAAAAGAAAAGAGTACATATGTAAAAAAGAAACGTATTTATATAGTTCTCTGTAACACATTGCTTCTTTAACAGAGAAAATTGCTTTATAATTTTATTGTAAATGTAATTTTAGAGCGAGTGTGGCATAGTAGACGGCGTACTGATCCTAGGTTCAATTCCCGGCAGAGCCAAAATATTTACTTTCCTTTTGGAAGGCAATGACAAACCATCGAGAATAACTTTGCCGTCTCTCTCTATCAAAAATTTACTGTTCGGAACCGGCGTTAAACTGTAGGTCCCATATACCTGTATAATCATCGTGCGTACCACAGATATGCGAGAAAAAGAGATCACCACACTCAGACACGAGCAATAGGACTGGGGATGAGGAAAGTAATTTTTACAATCAGAAATATATGTATGCAGAAATGTCAGAGAAAAAGAATAAAATAAAGAAATTGACCAATAAAAATAAATTAAGTATTATTTATGACAAGTTGTCTTCATTATATATAGAATATGGATCGTATATTACATATAGATGTCAATAGAAAAGAAATCTATCAATTAACTGATTAAAAATATTAGCATTTCAACTTACATATATATCTTCTTATGTTTTTCTTTTTTATAAACCAGAATTTTTATTTATATTCTATAATAAATGAATCAACAATTATATTAAAACAATTTTGTAACAAATAAAATGATGTGCCCTATAAATAAGTTAATTCTCGTAAATCTATTTTATAATATCACATAAAAACGCAGTTCTAAGGTTTCGAAATTTTGAAGTAAAATTTCTCTAATCTACCGAAATGTTATTTATTTATGCTAAAGAGTAAAGCAGAATGAAAGAGCTTGCGAAGCGCGTATTCTTACAATACTTTCCCTATCACGTAAGAGTTGTAATAGTCTTTGTATATCCTCGGGTCTTGGGGAATCGAATAATCCTAAAAGCAATGCAGATGTGGCTCTGATGTGATAATTCTCTGATCTAGAATAACCACGAACCACAGCATTCCTGGTGAAGAAATAATAAAGCTTACACACCTATTTTATATTTTAAATACGTTATTAAAAATATTTCACTATTATATATCTACCTTAGTTCCTCTGCTCTCTGTGGGAATTCTTCTTTCAAACACTTTATCAAGTCCTTAGAAAAATCCTCGAAATTGAATTTTGCTTGTGGTCCCAAATTAATGTGTATTATACGAGATAATTTTTCATTATGCACGATACTTGTAATTTTACATAAGGTTTCCTGCGCAGTTTGTTGCATAAACAGGATAAGTAGACAATTGAATATATAATTTAGTAGTGCATTACTTTAAAGTGATGTGATATACACATACCTTAACTACTGTTATATTCGAATCTTCCAGTCTTATTATCAGAGACGGCAAACAACCCAGAAGATGATCGATCAGATCATTATCCGGGGATTTAACCGATTTCTGCCAATTGGTAGCTATTGCACCTAAAGCACTTATTGCGGCAAGTTTCATTTCCCAATTTTCTTTTTCAATGAATGGTTTCAAAGCCAACACCACTCGTGGATTGATAGGCTTCCTGTAGTGAACCGAAAATAACACTGAGAGTCCGCGTAACGACTCGAGTACTACTTCAGTGCCACCTTCTCCACCGGCAGTCTCTTCCAGTCCATCGAGTAAGGCATCCATGCAACTGTCGAAATATTCATCAACCTAAAAGACAACAATCACTATATAAAAAGTACATGTTGAAAAAAGATAACAAATGAAAATGATTCAAGACTCTACAGATAAAATCGGTAATAATAATGCTAATAAGAGCCAATACTAGGTATATATAGTGTATAGTGTATGATTCAAACGTCCGGAAATAATTATCTTCGAAATTATTATTAAATTATCTTATAGAAAAATGTTTCAGATTTATCTTATAGAGATGTTTGCAAAATATGCAATGTTCAAAAAATTACATTAGATGACAATATCTGTGTGACTTTAAATAATCATAGAATTACTTCTCAAAATTACATTAAAAATTTTAAATCGATACCTCAATTTTTATTAAAAATTTTGATGCTGATATTGAAATCTTTCCAAAACACGTAATCAAATTTAGATTTTTAATTTAAAAGTTAAAAGTATTTAAAGTTAAACTGCGTCAGTTTCAACATTATTCTATAGACATTGTGGAAAGATTGCTTGGTCGAAATTCATCCATTATTTGATCCTAAAAGGATTGATTATATCTATGTTTGTGTGTGTATGTATACATGTGTGTGTGTGTGTGTGTGTGTGTGTGTGTGTGTGTGTGTGTGTGTGTGTGTGTGTGTGTAGTATAGGAATAATTGTAATTAATAAAAAAATTTTTTAACATTTTTCTAATACTCTAAAAAACATATAACAAAAGCAGAATTTGAAAATGATGCGAAATTACTCGGCCTCTTTATCTTGATTTATTTAATAGCTTTAAGAATACATAATGCTTCTTTCCTTTTAAATGATTTGTTCCTGCAATTGTGATTTGTTATTTATATTTCTCTGACATTTGATATTGTTTTCTCAAATTTTTTTATTGTGTTGAAAGTATGTTATAAGATTTCAGTCATCTGATACAAAAATTATAAATCTTAATCATTTTATTACATAACAATTCATAATTTTGCATACATTGTATAGTATATTTATTTTTATTTATCTTATTACTGTTTGACTTTACATAATAAATTCAGATAACTTGTATATATTTGATACTTATCACTGTTCACTTTTATCACTCACTTTTGATATACTTTACACCGTTTTATCATTAGGGCTCGATTTACAGACCATTGATATTTATTCTATTTTAATTTATTGTATTCTTTAACTTTTAGTATTAATCTTATTTTATACTGAATAGGATTCAAATAGAGATCAAAACATGTATGTTATTCATTGCTACTTAACTATGTACAGTTTACATATGTATATTTAGTGTATTAGTGTATTATAAGCTCTTGTTAGCATTATTATAATTATTGATTGAGAAATGATACTTTACCTGTTTTGAATCCAAGTAAGCTATCCTGGCAAGCCCGATGGTAGCAAGCTTTCGTACCAAGGACGACGAGTCGGCTTTAGCGTCATGCAAAGTATTAATTATAGCATCAAGCCATATAGCTTCACAATTCCGTTCCATTTTTCCGATCAATTCCGAGTAGAACGTGGCGGCGACCGCGCGCTGTATCGCTATCGTGCTGGTCATTAGTTTGCTAAGGGATTGCGCCATGTTCGACAGAATCTCATTTCTAGTTAATACACATTTCATCAATATTCGTACGGTCGATATCAGACTTTCTTCAGCTTGCGTTTCAGAAGTAAATGCCTAAATATAGCTTCATTGAATCAATATTGAATCAATATCAAAATTGTAAATTTATAAAACATTTTAATACGTACGATTTCCAACGGCAAATTGGGTACAGTATTTGGTTGGATGATTGTCAATACGTTGGTTAATATAGAATATACTTCTGCGTGTGGATTCATCTTTTGCGCCGCCCGATTCGGTACATATCCATACTTTGTATTTATCAATGATGCAGGAGCATCAGCGTATAACCAGCCCGAGAGATATTTGAGAAGAACAGATAATAATCCTGGTAACTGTTTATTAATCAAGCTTTCTACATGTGGTGATTCAAGAAGATGCTTTAAACCCACGATAGACGCTAAAGATAAGAGAGACGCGGTATTATTCCGTCCAGAATGCACGGACGTAGTAACCTCAATGAATAAATTGTTGGATTCGAGTTTTATCAGCAACATCTCCAAAGCCTGAATAGAATTATAATTGTATACGTCTTATATACTTATAACACATAACATAAACCGTTATATATGTTATATAAAAAAATTGAAAATTTACACGAAGTCCAAGAAAATCATCATTGCCAATTTCTTTCCAACACATTGCAGTTCCCGGATCCAAGGGTAATGGTTGAGACAAAAGATGTTCAATTACTTCTTCCGGATGGTGCTTCATCAATGATACTACAGCCGTTGATGCAATATACTTGCAGCTCATGTTTTCCATTTGTCTCATTTGTGTAATAATATTGTCTGTAAATAGAGAAAAATTTCATTAGTAACATATTATAAATTATAAATTATAAATTACAAATTATATATTATATATTATAAACTTGTATAAACGTCTTTAACAGATTTGTGTGCGTGCGTGCGTGCGTGCATGCGTGCGTATTGATAGAATAATTCACACTTTACCAACTAAACAAACATCAGTCCTGGATATCTCTGATCCTTTAATTTGGAAATGTTGTGAAAGAGCTATGCCTGCTACTAAACCTGCTTCTCCATAGAATAACAAACCTTCTATTAATCCCTCAGCTAAGCTAACTATTTCACCATTAGGGATTTTCTGCGATACCACATTAGCCAATCTCTGTTTACGAAAAATTGCATCTTAATTTTTCCATTTTTCCTTAAAATCATTATCATGATAAAATTAAGTGCGATTAATTGTAATTTTTAATTACATAAACTAACTTGTACAGCTCCCTGGAATACTGATGATTCATCAATCATCAGTTCCTTCTTTATTTGTTGTATATCTTCACTTAAGATATTATCGAGTAATACATGCCGATGACGGGCTGCAATGTCCAGAGAAAGAAGCATACAGTCTATTGCTAATGGTCTCAGTGCGAATTCAGTGTCCGCACACCAGCACAAAATTCTTCCTACCAGTTTCCCGGCGTCCAACTTGCCACCTGGATATGTATATTTCAAAGAGTTATAATAAGACCTAAAAGAAAACACACATTATAAATATCTACATTATAATAAAATAAAAATAGATTGTAATAATTACTGGAGTACTGTGTGCATCACTAATAAAGTCGTTTTTCTCTCAACATTTGATTTGGATTGCATCCAGGGTAATAATATGTCGACTAAGTCAGCTAATGCATCCGCTGAATTGGATACAATTTCGCTGGATATATTGCCCAGCTCATTTATGACTAGTTGCATTACCTCTGGATGTAATTGCAGAGCAATCTAAAACAGAGATTAACTGATAAAAATTAATAAATATAATATTGCAATTTTAATTTTGGTACCTCTGAACTGGCACTAATTGTTTTATCCAGCACTGCACTGAGGAAAATCTCCCTTTCTTCATTATTTAGTTCTGGTGGTATACGTCTACAAAAATATTTGGAAATATTTAACTATTCGTTCAATACATATATGTGAAGTTGTCATATCAACTTGGTAGAAAATCAATTGAGAGCTCTAGCTTTACTTTCAATAACTTTATAATTGTCTATTAAATAAATAAATAGATCTAATCATTAATGTACAAAAACATCTTAATACAAACTGAGATCCTAAATTCACACAATATCTTACTTTATTCAGCGCGAATTCCATTAATATTTATTACATGATTCCTAAAGATTTATAGTTCCACAAGAGTTCTAAAATTCTAATGAAAAATATCGCCTTTTTAATTTTGAAATAATCTTTATTATTCAAAAAAGAAGTCGCGTGCGCGTGTGTGCGTGTGAGTGCGAATGGGTGTGTGGAACGGAACAATTTTTGACAGTTCTATCAGTTTTGAATCCTGACGTCCTGATGTCTATCCTAACATTTTATAAAAAGGTCTGAATATAAATATTATTAGTTTATTTTATAAATAATTTTTATCACGCAAGAAAATCCTAAACGGACATATGAATCAGACACTGTTTGACTTTCAACAGTTCTATCAGTTTCAAAGCAGTTCTTGTGTAGCTCTGAATATATTATAACATTTTTCAAAGAGTTTTTGAATTATAATTAAATTTTTTGAATTATAAAATTAGTAAAAATAAAGCCAGAATTTCCAATAATTCATGATTTTCCTAAAATATAGATGATAATCAAGTTCACGCATATCGATGCGTGATGTCAAACAAATGCATTGTTGAAACATACATTAAAGAATTTGCTGCTTTCAATATCGCCGCATAGAGTTGCAATGGTCTATATCCAGTCGATGACTGCAAGATTCCCAATAAAGTAGCCAAAGCAGTAGCCTTTATTCGTAAGCCTTTAGATTCAGGCAATCTGGTGGGATGAACAGCATTGGCTACCTACAAATTAAGATTTTATTACAACAAGTAGAAAACATTATATATTGAAATATATTGATTCGTTAAAAAGATTAAATTAATAAAAAGATTAAATTAAATTTCATTGAGTGAGGGATTAATCGATTTCAAAATTGATTATCGATTTATTAAGAAGAGGAGAAACCTAAGAACAGTTAGTGAGCTATGTTGTAAGTTCGATAATTTAATGACATGTGGTTCACGATATAAGCATTTGTTTTAAATATTTATATATTAATTCAATGAAAAAAAATTATTCGACACTAAAATCCTGTCTGTCGATTAATAATCTGATCCATCTATGTTCTGATTGTTTATATTAAATTATTTAAATTAAATTACTTGTTCCAACACTGACAGTCCTGCTTCCTTTGTAGACAACTCCTTGCATTCGTGTAATTGTTTAATGGTCCACGGCAACACGTGTTTTTCAAAGACTGAAAAAAATTTCTGCGGTTCCCCTTTCTGAGCAATTTCAGCATAAGATTGTAGTAAACCCGCTTTTGCAGCCTCAGCAGTAGCGGCAGCCTTCGTATCTTTCACAAAACCCAGCAATTTCACGGGGGCCTTCCTAGCATCCTCGACAATGCAAAACTCTTCCATTAATTTTAACACGATATTTAGATGTCGTTTAGCACAGATGCCAACCGCTCGTGCAAATTCTTTGGTAGTGCCGTGAGAACGTGTAAGTTCAACAAGCAGAGTGATATGAGCGTTGTTATTGCATGTAGATGCCAAAAGCGGCGCTACACTCGGTGTGTTTGTTTTCAGAGCGAGTTCATCAGCGAGCTTTGCGCCCCATGACTCTCCTTCCAGCTTTACACTTTCTTCTAGCCATTCTATCATTTTTTTTCCCAGATTAAATCTCTGTAGATTAAAAAAAATTAAGAAAAGGTAGTCTTAATAATATATGCAAATCAAGTCCATTTATATGTATAAAAAGCGTTACTGTTGCGTGATGTCTTTAAGATTTTTTTGCGAGTTTCTTTGTTCGTCCTGCAAGAGTTCTTGCAAAAGTTCCTGCAGTTTCTCATCCCAATAAGATTTCACTTGATGTCCTAGCAAAGGTGCTGCCGCTTTTAAGAAAGTCACTATTGCAATTCGATTAGCTGGGTTGCTTAACAATTCCAAGCATCTACCTAAGACTTTTGTACCAGGGAAATCCCTCTCATTTGTTGAGGAGTTTTCATCGCATATTATTTTTGTTGCTAATGGGGATAATGAACGTAACACAGACGTAACCTATGGATAGAAAAAATAATTTAATAGAGATATTAACGTTAATATAATTGTAAAATTATTACTTACAGACGCTGTGCAAGTCGAGTCCAATAACGCATTTATCAGACAAGGCCATAGCCAAGACTCGACACCATCAACAGTTGTAGCAAGTAGATATAAAGCTTCGGAACATGCCTCCATGTCATCACTCTTCGCTTCACAGTGTGACACCTGTTTTAACAAGATAAAGTTAATTTATCAGATATTTCTCTCTTATTAATTTTATTTTACGCATTGTTTGCATACCATATAACGAACAAATCTGACTCTCTGTGATGGTAAAAGAGGAAATGTTGGTCGTGCCACAAGTGCCACTATAGCACTAACCATCTGAAGCGCACCATTTTCTCCAAGCGACTCCTGCAAGCTAAGTGCGATTCTTTGCAGAGATCCATCGTCCTAACAAAACAGTATGCATATAAAAAAGTTATGTGTTTAATAAAGCTACACATTTTTGTACCTCTGATGGAAGAGTGTTTATGAGATGTCTCAGAACTACTAAAGCGCGAGCACGCTGATTTGTGACTGGTGACTTCAATTGCTGCAAAATTCTATGGAAAATAAAAAAAATGAACGACTAAATATTTCGCAATCTTATAATTTAAACCGAAGAAGACATAAGAACGTCGATTACCTATCAAGACCTTCTTCAGGATATAAGACAACTAATGATCTAGAACATTGTAGTACTTCATAATGTGTCAGAACAACATCTCGAGCTGCTTCAAAGGGACAAATACTAACAAATTCAAAGAGGACTTGATGGATATTCTCTATAAATGGGCGAATTGCCTCTTTGTCATTTTCATTCTCGACATAGCTTAAAATCACAGCTAAAACTCTAACAAAATAATAAATTTAAATTAAAAAAAAATTGATATTCATTAAATTTATTAAAATATGTAAAAAAGAGATAATATGAATAAGTGAATAATAAACTTATTTTTTGCTGGATGTTGAATTTACCTTACAGCAGCTAAACGTATATTTTGTTTCTTACAAAGATTTAAACATACAGGTATCAACTTTACAATTCTTTCACTATTCTGTTGTGCAGGCAACAAAGATATCATAGGCACAAATGTTGTTAAAATAATTTCAGTTGATTTAGAATCTCGGGATGTCTTTAACCAATTATGCATCAGAAAATCAAAAATGGAACAAATTTCTTCCACAAATGTCTGTTTATTAATTTCCATAGTAGAATCTTCTCCGTTCATTATATAATCATTTATAGCTTCACAAAATTTGCAGATCACTAAAAATAAAGAATTCATTAAAACAGAACTTTATTAATCTTATCAAGAATATCATAAGGCATATGTACTTACTGAAGCAAATTGCTTGTTTGAGAACCTCTTCGCGTATCTGATTCAGTATCGGTAATGTAATAGTCAGTGTTATTTTGACAAAAGATAGCATCCCATATGGATTAGTTGCTGCCAGCTTCCCTATTGTGAAAACTATTGCAGGATTAGGAATGATTCCAGGTTCTAATCTATAAATATCATAATATATTATAGTGAATTAATATTATATTCAAATTTTCATAACATACTTATAAAAATAGATAAAATTTACAGCTAAAGTTTGTTAGCGCATACTTAGTTAAAAGTTCACCCGTGGCTTGCATGCAATGTATTTTACAAAGCTCGATCAACAATTCAGCTGCCTCATTCTCAGTTCCTCCTGTTAACTCGTTCACTGCTATCTCAGCAAGAGACGTCACTAAATCTACGCTCAAGCTTGTAGCTGAATGTCTACATATATTAGATATAACATTCAACAAAGATCCCATATGTTCCGTAGATATCTTTGAATAATAACAATCACATAATAATATAAAACACAGCAATAACCAAATTATCTAAATTATCAGATATTAACTTTTTTATGCATCTCCCAGAAATATATTGCAGCATGAATGACGATTTCTGGATTTTTTTTACTTATTCTTTCAATCGACTCGACCACAGACCACTTTACATCTGGATTCTTGTCATCTAAAGTGTCCAACAGGGCTCCAATTACGGCTAAAAATAAATATTTTAATCATCAGTACAAATATTTTATTAAATATTATCTTATTAAATGTTAACAAATTATTTTTAGCTCTCTCTTTTAATCCATAATATTTTAAGTTTACCTGATAACTCAGAGCTGTAAATGCTTTCTAATTCCTCCTTCATGTTGATAAAGCACAAGTGTTAAGATCAAAAAATCTTAAACTTGAAATTTTAAGCTTTTATTGACACTAGATTTGAAAAATCATTTGTTACACGTTATCTCACGCAATGGATAAACTGTTTAAAGTACACCGAGGAACAAACATGAGATCCTTTTTCGGAGTAAATAAGCATACCACCGACGAGATATTATTAAAGACCGACAACCGTGAGTAAATTTTCGTGACCACCAGAGAGAAACCTGGGGGGTGCCGTCCCATGGAGCGTATCGCGCGTATCAAAAATCTGATCAATCGCGAAATTTACAATAATGGATTCGACGGAACGGCTATGTATCGAAAATAGCGAACATCCGCAATTGGTCAGATTTTCGGGAGCGTCCGAGATGCACACATTTTTAATTGGACACACCACTCACATCAGCCGATGCCTAGGAATTTTCTAGTGAGTCCACCTATCAAAAATTTTTTTATTTACTCGACCAATCGGTAATGTGTCCGATTGGACCTCACCCACATTTTCGATACGCGTGATCCGCGATATACGCAATACGCTCCATAGGACGGCACCCTGAGGGTATGCGGCATAACTTGCGTAAGCGTAATCTGCGTATTTTAATATTTTATTAAAACACGTTACGCCATTCTGAAAGCCTTCTTTCACATAGAGTATATTTCGCGGAATTTCGAGAAATGCGTAATTAATACAATCAATTGCTGATTAGGATTTCTGTTGTACTCTCTAACAGAAATGCTAAACTAATTTGTGATTGGTTTTTGTAATCTGCAAAAATACGTTTCATGGGGAACCAAGACTTTATGTACGAGTATATGTACGAACAAATCAAGTAGATGTAAACCTAATTTATAAGAATGTATTCAGAAGTCATTATGGACCCTGACCTATTGTTATTAATAATGTAGAAGCGATGGCAAAAGTGGAAGAAAATGAAACAATCTCAATAACAGAAAATTAGACGATAGAATATTTTAAAATTGTTTGGAATATGGAAACTGACATATATATCAACAGGGAAAAGCTCGTCATAGAATGTGGGTGCGTCCGATATTCGCAAAAAGACGAAGATTATTACAGAGTGATAGTAACAATCTGGTCAAAAAAATGGAATTTGAAGATTACGAAATGTTCTACAATTATTGTAGAATGTCCATAAAAATGTTTAATCAGTTGTTAGATATTGGACCACGCATTGAAAAACATTATTAATAAAATTAATTATATATATATATATATATATATATATATATAGAGCATCATATATATATATATATATATATATAGAGCATCATTTTCCTTCAATTCTTTACAGATTTTTCTAAGTATTGTTTATTTTATTTTTGTAAAAAGAATTACATACAAATCAATTAATATATTATGTATGTATGACATATATTGTGTGATTATTTAAGTGAAGATTAAAGGCATTCATATTTTCACCCGATGAATATTAAAAAAATATAATTATTGTTTTTGCTTTAAAAAATATATTTTTTTTTAAATGACACAGTAAAATTATATATATTAATAAATTATGTATATATATTTATTTATTCGTTTATTTAATAAACATATAAAATAATTGTTATTATATCTTATGCTTTTATTATAATAGATATATTCATGGCAACCAAGGAAGAAGTAAATACAACTGAAGTGAAGATGGAAGAAACACCAGATAATTCAACCACTGAAGAGGTGCCAACTAGTCTAGAAACTATTCCCGAAGGGAATACAGCGCGAAATGGACTTCAAACAGCACCGAGAGACAAAACAAAGAGTATGATCTCATTATTATTACACATGCAATTTTACAAATGCACATAATGAAGTATATTTAAATTGGATGTATTTAAATTTCATAGTTGATATACTGCTGAAAGCTACTGCCAATGCTCCAATCATGAAACAAAAGAAGTGGTCGGTCTCTCAAGACAATCCTATTGGACGAATCTCTGAATTCATAAAAAGTATCTTAAATTGGATCCCAATGAAAGACTGGTATATTAAGTATCCCTTTTTCAAAATATTTTCTTCGATAGTAAAATAATGACAAATTTTTTGTCTTTCAGTTTCTCTATATTAATCAGACGTTTGCACCTGCTCCCGATCAAACAGTCAAGAACTTGTATGACTGCTATGGCGCTGATGGAAAGCTAGTCATACATTACTGTAAAAGTCAAGCATGGGGTTGAGATTCCTTGATGCTATTTTATTAAAATTAATTTTCCCTAATAATAATATATAAGTTAACATTGTGATATATAATTCTATAACTTTTTGTATTTATAATATATAATTATTACACTTGATTTTTAGCTTATTTATAGGAGAAATCTTGAAGGAATTTTATATACTTCTGTTAGAAAAGTACAAAGATGTCATGGTTTTATTATATATCATGTACATCATCATTCTTTCAATGTAGCGATATTGGAGTATAAATAAGTCAGCCTGATAAAATGATCATATATTATGTCTTTGATGTAATAAACTTTTTATTGTCCGAATCCGAAAATTCCTTCGGTTTTTCCGGCGTCTTCGCTTTATTGGATGATCCGTCGCTCTTTTTGTCCTTACATCGACATTTCGGTATACATGTGCTTAATTTGGAGTTCATTGAACTCAGCGACGCGCACTTGCAAACGGATATTCTTTCTTCATGAATTTCTTTTTTAGATCCTTTACTCTGATCGGAGACAGCAGACAATAGCTTTTGATCATCTGATGAATATTAATATTATATAATTTAATATTATTAAATAAACGTAAATTGCAATGTATCAAGCTTTGTCATATATTTGAAAATATGGTGTACTCACTTAAACATGACGAAGTGGATGTTTTGGAGGATTGTACAGTCCGATTCACTATGACGCCTTCTTCATTTTCCGCTTTTTGTGAAGATAATTTATTTCTATCTCCACTAGGCAAGCTGTGTGCGGGACCAGATGCTTTTTCGTCTGCAAACTTGAAATCTTTCACTGACGGACATTTCCAAATCATAATCGCACCGTCAGCACTGGCCGTTACTATATAGTTGCCATCCGCGCTGAATTTACACGCTGTGATTATTGCGGCGTGCGAAGTACCGATATAGATGAGATCCGCATTGTCGTATTCCCAGATCTTGACAGTGCAATCGTTAGATCCAGTGACAAAGTATTGTCCATCTGAGCTGATATCGACGCAATTCATCGTTCCGATGCTGGAACCTTCAATTTCACGCACCAACGAGCCATCCAGAGTTTCCCAGTAGGCGATCTTTCGATCTGTACCACACGTCAAGATTTGAATGCCATCCGGTGTGAATTGCGCCGTCATGAACATCGTGTTCCCCATGAGAATATATTTCCTAATGCAGCGTCTATTACGAAAGAATTTTATTTACATCTAACAGTGACAGATTTAATGCTTTACAGGCGTATACTTACGTTATATCCCAGATGACACACGTGCCGTCTGTACTCGAACTGATCAAGTTCTCATTGTTGCTCGAAATGTGTAAGGATGTTATCGGGCCACGATGTTCTTTCAGAATACTAATTAACCGTCGTACATTACATTTTATATCCCAAATACGCACCTAAAAATCGAATGCATCCTTACAGTACTGGTGAACTAAATGAATAATGTGCGAATAATGCATTTGCACAGAGTCAAATTATTAAGGACCGTCTACATAGGACGCAAAACGCAAGTCGCGAATGCAGAAAAAACGCAGGACGCATTCGCGCGACGCAAATCTCACGTTGCAAGGGTCTATGAAAGATATTTATTAGATTCGGAAAAATAAACGGAAACCGACTGGATTTGAACTCGGAATCTCCCTCGCCTAGTACCAAGACATTTAGTCTGCACGACCGCGATAGCTCCTCTCCGTTAACTGTTTATATTCCGAATCTCTAATGATCGCTTACGGTCGTCTATTTCTTACATCTACATTGAACGCATCACGCAACTGATTGTAAGTTTGTCTTGTCTATTTGTTTGTTTACTCTTATATACTATCAACCTTTGAAACATTGTGAACTCTGAGATAAAATGGATAAAGACAAACGTTTGCTATTATTTTTATTTTATACTTCAATGCCCGATTCTATCAACGTAGATTAACTTTAATCTCGGTTCAACTTATTCTTCATCTTTTTCTAGTTCTAAGAATCAACTTAGCACCATGCTTGAGTCTAGTTCTAAGAATTATTCTATGTTGGTGGAATCGAGCATTAATAACAGGATTAAATTTACGTAAGCTTCTAATGAAAAGAAAAAAAGGAAAAAAACGAAGATGATGAATTCGCCCGATAAATAGAACACGTAAATTAAAAGGATACTACGATAATATATTTATGTACATGAAAAATTACGGTCATGAAGAACTCTTTGAATTTTTTTCTCTTTGTTGTGTTTCATCACATTTCACAAATTTTAAATGTAGGTTTTTCAGGTGGGTCCCCTTAGCGCACGTTAATGCGATAGCACACATCGCTGTTATAAACGCTGATATACATGAAATTATTCAAATGTAAAAATATATAAATATTTCAAAACAATTATATAAATAGTCAACAATGAATTTCGTATTATTTAGCTAAATATAAAAATTATAAAATTAATAATTTATCAAAAAAATAATATTATGCTACTACATTTAGATATTTTCTATATAGCGATCTTTAATGTGCATTAACCTAGAGTAGTGAATCGGCAATGAATCGAATTCGTTATTAAAGTTGGTTCAACTAGTCGCATATAAACTTGCGAAATCGTCATCTTGCAT